TCTCGTTATCATGATTTCATTACGAATTATGATACACAAAAGTTTCACGATTTACGCACCCTCGTATCCTGTCCATGTCACAAAGTAGAGATATCCATTGATATATATATATAAAAAAAAAAAAAAGAAAAACAAAAAAAAAAAAAAAAAAAAGAAAATACCGGAAGAAAAGAAAAAGAGAAACATAAGTACTCCTGCTGCACGAGACTGCAACACGTGGTATGCGCTAGTAGCGACGCGAGGGCTTCGGAAAATCCTGTTTGGTTAATCCGCTTCGTTCGTTCAAAATAAAGAGATCGACTGCAGCCAAAGATACGTTTTCATATAGACACGAACTTGCCGTCTAACATATAATATTTGCATTCTATTTTAAGCTCCTATCGATTTTTTTGTTCGTGTTTGTAGACTATAATCTAACAAAAAAAAAAAAAAAAAAAAAAAAAAAAAAAAAAACACTTCCTCATCCTCCTTTCGATCTTTTTTCTTTTCTTATTAATTAAATTATTTTGGACAACGGCAAATACTCTTTTGCATAGAATTACCCGTAGACAAAAAGTTGCGTCGTTGTATTATTAATATTTATAAGGGTACACCTTTTTACAATAAGAGCTCGTTAATTCTATACCTATTGGTGTCAATACTTAGTCAATACTATGAAAACTCGTTAAACAAGAATCAACATTAACGTTAGTCTAAGAAGAGAGTCCACCTAATAATAATCATTTCCCTCGGAACATTAGATACGCTTCCTTGGATAAATATATCCGTGGAACGAGAGTTTCGGGCCAAGGTCAGAGTCTTTTTAATCTTCTAGTTCTTCTCTCTTTTTTTTTCCAAGGAAGAAAGAAAGCAGCACGAAGAAAAAAAATATTCCTGATACAAAAACGAGTTTCCTATTCATCGAGAATTTTTCCACCATCGTCGTCTCGATCGTCAAAAGGGGATGATTAACGAAATTGCGTTTCGAAAATTGCATCGATATATGGTTGGAACTTGTCGAGTCGAATTGTTTCTTTCGATCACGCACATCCTGTAATTTACAAGACGAGTCTACTCTCGAAGTTATTATGATATTTAAGAGAAAGGTAAGAAGGCAAACGTCGTCTTTCGCCTCTTGATCCACTGAACTAGAATGAAAGCGTCAATCGGTATCTCTCTTTGAAAATGTTCATCTAAGCTTAAAAGAAAAAAAAAAGAAAAAGAAGAAGAAACAAAAAAAAAAAAAAAAAATAAAAAAGAAAAGAAAGAGAAATTTATGTTTAAAAAGAAGATGATCAATGGAAGAACATAGATAAGAAAGATCACGTGTATACTCGTGGTGTCTCACGTTTCACGAGCGATCTCAATTTTCCCTATCGATAGTCAAACAGGCAAAGCCTCTCACCCAATTTCACGTGAAAATCCGTAGTATCCAAAACCGATAAGTAGACTCGCACTCGGGGTCTAGAATATCGTCTATCGTACGATAGACGTCAGAAGCCTCTTCGAGTTAGCGTTCGTCAGTCTTCGATGTCGAAACACTAAGAAGGGTTGGAAGATGTAAAAGAGGGTGCGAGTGAGAGAGAAAAATCAAAGACTTAAATCTCTCACGCGCGTGTAAGCACGTGTATACACGTTGCTCGACCATTCTTTCGAGCCACGTTAAATCCAAAGAGCTTAAGTCTCTAATTGAAAGACTGGCCCTGGTCACGATATCGCCCCTTTCCCCTCTTTTTATCTTTTTTCTTTTTTTTTTTTCTTTTAATATCTTTCTTTCACCCTACCGTCACATGCACGAAAAAGTACACGACGACACTTTTGGTCATAGAGAACCGCCCTAAATATGAGAGTGGACATTTTGGACCAAAGTCGTGCCGCAGGCAATTCGTCCGATAACGAAGGGTACCGCAGAGAGCCATGTACACACAGACGCACACGTATAAACATGTTAATGCGTATACGAAGCGGTACACGGCTCAAATTCGCACGTGCTGCCGACATATATGTTGCTGCATGGATAGGAAAAAGAGGCTTCTCTGGTGGAAACGGCCGTCGAATTACAGGGGCTCCAAGCTATCGATCTGCGCAACACCCGGTACATGCGAAATGTCCGCCAACAGACGCCCAATCTCTCTCTCTCTCTCTCTCTCTCTCTCTCTCTCCCTCTATTGCTCATCTATATCTATCCATTTATCTCTGTCCATCTGTAGATTTAGCTACATGTGTGCAACTCGCATGCGTGTGGTTCACGATGAGATATGTCTATATGTGCTACACCCTTTTACTCTCTCTCTCTCTCCCTCTCTCTCTCTTTCCCCCATCGCCCTCCCTAAGAATGCAATACCATTCAAAGGAACCAGTCGATATTGAATCGAGAAACTGTAAACTTGTGTTTGCAAAAACAAAAAAAAGACAATGCGGACAAAGAAAAACGCTTGCTTCCCCTTGCATCGATAATCCTATGAAGATGGTTGCATCGTGTCACGTTGGTTTCCTGTCTCTCTCTATCTCTCTCTCTCTCTGCGTCTCTGTTTTTAGACTGGCATAATTTATATCGCGTTATTCTCCCGTTCGAACGGAATCGCGAGTCTCGATCGGCGTCTAGAGTTACTCGCATGCGTCAACGTCGTCCCAGATACGGATCATCATCATCCAACGGCTTTATTCGTTCCTCGTATATTTCGATTCGCTCGAGAGGCCTTCTCTCTCTTTGCAATTTTCGAGAAAATCTCAAAGTTCTCATGGAATCTTTATCTATTAATTAATTTATCAAAGATTAATGCCTGCAGACGGTTCTATGAGACGACGAGTCGCGTTTAAAAAAGTTAATGACGATCGAAGATTATTATTAGGGAGATTGGAGACGATCGAACGACGCGTAAAAGAGAAAAACAAGTTCGCGTGACCGCATTTATCATCTCTAACGAGCTGACTTCTATGGATTCAGAAAAAGAAACGGTCTTTATCGGTTTATATTGCATCGTCTTTCATGTGCGAACGGGACATGTATGTGTGTATGCCTCGAAGAGAACTGGACGAGTTGAGCGGAGATGACGAAGACGAAGAAAAAGAAGATGAAGATGATGAAGAAGAAGTAGAAGATGAAGAAGAAAGAGAAACAGAGAGAGAGAGAGAGAGAGAGAGAGAGAGAACAGGGAAGAAAAAAAGGAGGAGGAGTTTTATGCGCGTTAGATACGTCTCGGACACGATCTCGTTGCGTCGCTCGTATGTCGCTCAAGGGTGCGTGACTCGGAAACGCAGTCATAAGAAAATTTATGCAGCACGCCCTCGAACGTGCCATACGTGCTTCGGCAAACGAGTTTCGCCGTAACATCGTCCGGCTCTTCGCGTCAAACCATAACACTCTTTTACTTTGCGATAGATGCGATGCTTTGTCTCGATTTTTCTTCAAAGTTTACCTCGTCGAGTATGAATTCCGAATCGTTTGAATCTAGAACCACGTATTTTTCGATAACGAGTGACGTTTTATATTCGTCTCGTTCGTACTCGTTTGTGTTGCAAATATATGTAAATAGAATGTCCAATACAACTCTGACCAGTAAAACCATATTTTTTGAACAAACGTTTGTCTACGTTTCTCGTCAATTTTGTAATCTTTACTTTACGAGCTTGTCAAAAGGATCGAATGTAATGCAATCTCAGAGTATATTTTACACGACGAAGGGTGACTTTCCGATAGCGATGTGTATGCGCATGAACGACTCGAAAGAGAATAATTTCTGAGCTGATGCCTCACAACGAACGCTCCTTCCTTCTAATCGCTCGCGTTTCCCACTTAATGACGAAGTAACGGCAATATATCTTTCTCGCAATTCATTAAAGAGCAGGTATATTGAACGCATTAAAAATAAATTATCAATTTCCTTCGAGTTTCACGACGAAAATGTGTGATCAGAGATAAATACGGTGGAAGAGAGAGAGAGGGAGAGAAAAGTTCCATTAAACCACTCGATCATGATAAATTATTAACGCGAAATTAATATGTAACTATCTCTCAATCAGCGGAAAACTTTTACTACTGAGCAATATTAATTTAAAAGTTTCTAGTAATAATAAAAAGAGACTATTTAATTTGTTAAGCATTCGCTGTGCTACTCATGCATGTATATGCACCTGCACTTGAAATCAACAAGAGCCACAGTGAGAGAGGGAGAGGGAGGGAAGAGGGAGTAGCGCATCTATTAAACGTTAGCGATCTCAAGCGATACTGCGATGGACCGATTATACCTCAGTTAACTGCAAACGCGAAGCCTCGTCTCCCTTGAGATACTTGCATACGTACATACAAACACAAATACCTAAATATGTTCTGTCACGGAACATGCTCGTCCCCCTAACATCGAATTATGTGCAATAGGGTACACAAGGTGGTACTGTTACTGTTGCTGTTGCGAAATTCCACTCGGAGAATGCATATCGTATTGTTCGCTGACTTGGTGATACACATACGTCCTGTTTGCAAGCGCAAACTCCTAGACCTGACGCGAGATTAGATACGGTTCGAAACGGATCCACCGAGATCTGATCTTCCCTCGAAATCTCTATAACGGGTATCAGATTCTTCCTTGTTATAGTTTGAACCGTGAACTGTGGAAACATTCTTTAGCTTTTCTTTTCTTTATCCTTGCTATTTATAAAATATACAATCTTTTGTCCTATGTTAAAGTGTTTCTTTTTGAAAAAGAAAAAAAAAGCCTATCTTTATCCCGTAATAAATGGTTATATCGTAAGAATGCATTTCTAAGAATAGAGACTTTCGTCATGAGAAATATCAAAGAGATAGCGATCGATCTCAAAGACATTCGTCTCCTCATTGTGCACTTCGTGTCCTTGATAGGATGCGCATAGATTTTAATAGAATTAGTAATCCTCGAGAGAGAGAGAGAGAGAGAGAGAGCGAGAGAGAGGAAGAGAGAGAAGGATAGGGAAAAGTATTCTTTGTCGATTCGCCGAGGATCGTCGTTGATCACGAGACAATACGTGACTTACCACATGAGCTCTATGATGCTGATGATGCATAGTGTGATGATGATGTCTCTTCTCCTTTGCATGATGTTTACCGTGGTGCTTGCTACCTCGATGCGGCGGATAGGTATGATAAATCATGTTAACGCCGAAGCAGGGCTGGCGTCACCTGACCTCGACGAGATTACACTTGGACATCCCCATCTGTTGTTGGCCAGTCTGATGATTCTGATGAGTAGTCACGGTCAGACTGGCGCCGCAATTCGCGTTCTGAAGTTTCCTCGTCCCTGTCGTTCCTGTCCCTGTCGTAGTCGATGAACTCTGCTGATGTTCGCCGGAGCAACCACCGCTCGAATGTTTTTCATCGACCTCTGAAGAATTCCTTAGGGTTAGATCGTCATCGTCGACGTCCACGGCGAAGGCAATACGATGATGAGACATCAGTTTGACATTCGAAGTGATAGGCGTCACCGTAGTAGCCGGATCCAACTTTACCAGGGCAGCTTGCAATTCCAAGGCATCCATCTCGTTGATTCGATTCACCAACAATTCTTTCTCTTCTTCCTTTTTTTTCCAAGGATCGAGTTACTCTTCGTGCTCTTACGAAGCCTTCTTCAACCAGAGATCCAGATATACCGGCTCATTCGAGCCTCTTTTCCTCTCTCAATTTTAAGAGAGAGAGAGAGACAGAGAGAGACTCTCCCAACGATTTTTCAACGAAAACACCTCTCGGATACGGATAACCCAGCGATAGAAAAACTGTTCGATCTCCAAAATATTTTTTCCACCCTTAGGCGGAATCATTACATATCTACACAGACACCCACACAATTCACGCACACACAAACGCTAGCACGCTAAAGTTCAAAAGCTTTTCCTATTTCCACTATCTTATTCTCTTTCATCTCTCTCTATTTCCCTTCCTCCCTCTCTCTCTCTCTCTCTCTCTCTCTCTCTCTCACTTGCTATTTCACCTTCTCCTTCCGCTAATGGCCACGATCGTTTTCATGAAAATGTTAGACAGGAAGTCGACCCGTTCCCTGCGCATCGATAGCCACCGTTCGATCTTTCCACTTCGTACAGTTATCTATCTATCTATCTATCTATCTATCTATCTATCTATCGATCTATCTTTCTCTCACAATCGGCATCAACAGCACTACAGTTCTTTTGATTTCACCTTTTGATTAAAACCCGCTCACGAACGTATTCCCATTGGTGGTCTCGATCGTGCACTCTATCGAAGCGAAAAGGGAAAAAAATAGAAAAAAAAAAAGAAGAAAAAATGTTACGAATCGCTCGAAGGGTGACAAAAAAAAATAGAGAGAGAGAGAGAGAGAGAGAGGGAGGGAGAGAGAGAGAATGTAAAGCACGAGTTTCCTTACGTCAACGTCGACCTTTAATTTTGATCGACCCTATGTAAACGGATGTTTTGCGAACGAGAAGTAAAAAGTGAAAGTGCCCGAGGAGGTTTTTTCTATTGCCAAGTTTTACCTTGACTTACACCGACTAGGAAGAAAAAAGTTTTAACAAAGCCAGTTTTCTTTTTTTTTTCTCTCTTTAATTTTTTTTACTCGACCAAAACTAAATTAAGTGAAGATAAAAAGAATTACGAAAATGAAACACGAAGCGCGTCAAAATTTTTCTGATAGTCATTGTAATTCGAAGGATGTGTTTGCGAAGGCGAACGCGAATATATAAAGAAACCTAAGGGAACGTTAAAAAGGTGGAGAAGGAAGTCGCGTGCAAATTTTCCTAGGCCAATTCAGGAGCGATAATTCGAGTCCCATTAGGCGATCGAGTTCTCCATCGATGTCTCGAGGCCGACACGCCTCGGGCCATCTTTCTTTCTTTCTTTCTCTCTCTCTCTCTCTCTCTCTCCCTCGGTTGCGGTTCGTTCCGTTCGAATAATGGAAGGTAACGTTCGGTCGCTCGTTCGCTCGCTTGCTCGCTCGTTCGCTCGTCGGTTGTCTTTGTCGTCGTTACTGCTACCACTGGTATTGCTCTCGTTGCTACACGGCTCCGTAGATCACGGTCATTATGCACGAGCTCGTGAGCTCGCGTGACCGTCTTCGTTACGTGCCAGTAAACGGGCCAAGCTCTGTGTGTGATCTATCGCGGGCTACCGTTCGTTTTATCGTTCGCTCGTTGCCTGTCCTCTTACGTCGACCGTCGCGAAGGATATGCGAGAGAGAGAGAAAGAGAGAGAGAGAGAGAGAGAGAGAGAGAGAGAGAGAGAGTTTGTGCTCGACAGTTTACTACTACTACAACAACAACAACAATCTCTACATCGATAATGTAGAGGATGGGCTACTTCTGCCGGGGAAATACTTGAGACGCATTGCGTACTTCGAGGACACGAAACGATCATAGGGACCTATGCCAAACACTATGTCAAGATTTCCTCTTTGATCTTCTCCTTGGTTTTTATTTATGTATGCAAGTGTAATATAAGTTGATTTCAAACGCAAGTCGGAAGAGAAAGTAAATCGATCCGATGCGGACTTTTTTGCTACCTTCAATCCGCGCAAGAAAGTTCAATAAATAATTCTTACATTTTTCTTTCGATGGTAAAAAAAAAAAAAAGAAAAAGAAAAAAGATAAATAAAAAATATATATTTCATTGTGAATAATGCGATGAAAGAAAAGTTGGGTCGAATCCAATGTACGAAAAGAACTTCTTTTTTTTCGTAACACCAAATAATTCCGAAAATGAAAATGTACGGGCCAGTGTTCGAGTTCGAAACTGTCGATCGAACAATTTTAGTTTGAACGTTGCACCAAGTAAAAAGGTGACAATATTTACCATTTTGCCTGACGTATTTGTCAACTCTCCCATAGCCGTTTGGATCTCTCTCTCTCTCTCTCTCTCTCTCTCTCGCTCATTTTTGTCATGAAACGCGGAGTATGATTTATATAGCTTAACGTGTCTGGTGGTGCAGAGATAAAAGGTAGAAATTTGCATACAACATCTAGGAGGTAGACATCTGTAATCCTCAGCCAAACGTTTTCTCTTTCTCTTTCTTTTTCATTTCGAAGAAGGAACGAACGAACGAAACCTGAAACTTCTTCGTCGCAAAGTGTCCGTGGGTGGATGTCGAGTTATCTATAGGTAGTTCCAAACGTACTTTACACCGAGCTAACGCTGTATCACGAGAGATACGCGGATAGAAGCAGAAAAAAGTGAAGAAAAAAAAATGAAGGATACGGTACCTAGGTTGATTACAAAGTTGCACGATGACATCGTTAAAACTGGCAAGAGATAAAGTCGTTTTAAAGCAAAGAGAAAGCTTCTGCTTTCAAAGATCCGAGAAACACGGCGATTCGATAGTTTGCATCAAAATTGAGAAAGATTGTCGTTATTGAACAGATAAGAAAAAAAAAAAAAAAAAGAAAAAGAAAAAAAAAGAAAAAAGAAACAAAAAAAAATTTATAATATTGAGATTCGAAAAAAGATTTTAATCATCATTAACATTCCATCGACTTTCGATGAGAAGATTAAAAAAACGAATATCTAAACGATTATCCGGACGATTATCTAGAAATCTTGCTTTCTCGAAGAAAGAACATGGATACCAATACTATAAGGAATTTCAAGGGCATGAGTCGATGAGTTTGGGTCTCCCGAAAGGACGGTCAACGCACTTTCAGACTCTTTTGTGTGATTCGAACCCATTCCTAAATCATTTTCATGAGCATTATAAGATAACATTAGGGGCGGGGAACGCCCACGGAACTTGTCCCTTGTTTCCTCTTATTCTCTCTCTCTGCCTCTCTCTATTTCTCTCTGTTTCTTTTCCTCTCGATTTGACGAGGAAACATGGTAGGCCCAACGGTCACCATTGTTTCAAGCGACGATTATACCGTGTTCCCCTTTTCACGAGCTCTACTGCTATTTTAACGAGAAAGTGTAATAAAACGAAAGAGCTGAGAGAATAAAATAAAGAGAGAAAGAGAGAGGGAGATAGCTTATTTTCTCAAAGGAGAAGAAAAAATCAAACGATCGTAAAGAAAAGACGATTAAAAGGTTCGAGTGGTTCGGAACAAAGGGTCTTCGACTGCGAGCTGGACAATGACTTTCTCGTCGTTTAAAATACCACGACCTCTATATTACCTCGAAGAAGAAGACGAAGAAGAAGAAGAAGTAAAAGAAGAAGAGAAGCAGAGAATGAGATAGGAGCTCGAGGATGAAGAATATATAGTAGCTTCTCGTTTGCTTCTTCCGTGAGCATAATGGTAGCGTTACTCTTTGTTGCAGCTACTTCGTGTCAGAGCGTAGATAATTAAAGGGCGTGGAACTAGACAGGTACTCGCATATACCGGTACACCTCTTCTTCGTAAACGATCGTACCGGAAGCTATTCTGGTCCAGAAGATTAGCAACTAGGCACAACGGGAAACGTTCGAGGAGTAATGACGTCGGCGTTTGATTTCACCCTGACAAGATACGAGAGACGATCATTTTGCACTCAGCCTAAAGACTTTATTTCAGCTTTGGATCTAATTTCAGTAACGGTAGAAGGACAACGATAAAATAAATAAAAACTTTTCGTTTAAGCGAATTTGTTTTTATCGCGAATCAAATCCTCCGATTGGATATATGGTAATTTAAGAGTTTAATATCGATAAAACAAAGACTAACGTAAAAAGAGAGAATCACTTTAGTATGCGATATTTGTCGACGGTACACACGCATATATATATTAGATAGACATCGATAACGAGCAAGTACATATAGGATTGTGGAGAGTCAAATATCTGCCAGCCGCAAAACGTTAATTAAAGTACGCTATATATCGATAGGTTTTCGCTTGCTTTAGAGTCTAATCAAAGACGAGCCAATAATAGTGCCAATCCTCCCCTTTTTCTTTCTTTACTCCCCTACGCTCGATCTCGTAATATCACGTTAATCAATTAAGAAAGTATAATGAAATTTATTACCAACCGCCCGGAGGTTTCCATTTATGAGCGACGAGTCAACGCAACCGCTCTATATTAATTTTCCTAACGTCGAAATTCACTTAAATTGTATATTTCGTGGGTAAGCGAACACAAAAACGAACTTTGTGACATAACGGGACAAAAGGGACGTAAAACTTAGTCGACTACCTCGAGAAAAAAAACAAAAAAAAAAAAACAAAAAAAAAAGAACAAAAAAAAGAAAAAACAAAAAAAACCGAAGAATATGTTTCTGAGTTTGCAGACTGCGACGACTTTGCGTTCACTATTTCTCTCGGGAACAAAGAAAAAAAAAAAAAAAGAAAAAAAAAAAAGAGAAAAAAGTAAGATAAGAAATCCTTTAAACGTTAGAGAAGTTGTTATAGCTCATATAGGTAAGGCACGAAGCTGAGAAGGTTGAGCCGATCCATCGGACGTCATGGATATAGGCGGAGTACCGCTGTTGCTGGCTACTTTCTTGCTGTTTTCTTTTATCCTTTTCTTTTCCTTTCGTAGGTGCTTTCTCGTGTAGAACAAACTATGGCTACCAGTCGTGGCAGCTAAGTTTAAGTGGGGTTACGAGATGAGGGTCAGCCCGTTATTGCCGCATAATGCCGGAGATATACGCGATGGATAGCGTTAAGCTCACTCCGCAGATTAGACGGTATAACGACAGTGATCGGGTAATAACCAATAACAAACTCTCGCGCGTGACCAATATCCCATATTTCCATCAAATAACTTCGAATTACGTTTGCAAATTTTTTCTTTTCTTTCGTTCAAAAATTCCATGGAAATTCAACGAGCGTGCCAATATCGAACCGTAGATATGTAGCGTGTGTTTTCAATTCAAACACGACGTTATCGATAATCCCTCTAAAAGTATTTTTCCTTTCTCGAAAAACGTATTCGATATACGTAGATAAAATGATGCACTCTGGATTGGAAAAACTTGCGAAAGAATAAAGCGGCATCGATTTATATAGACTCTATAATCAATGCGGCAGTTTGAAATAGGGAGATAATGAGATTGCTGCTATTGGATTCAATTTAATAAGGATAATCCGCGTACCAAATGATTTTCCGAAAGAGGAAGAAGGAAAGAAAAGAAAAAGAAAGTTGAAAGTTTAATCGGTCACAACGAGGATCCGACGACTTTTCATCGTTTTAGACGATTTTTCTTTTTTTCTCTAGAAAACAAAAAAAAATCGATTTGAGAATTCTTTCGTAGGTTTGATTGGAACGGTGGACTTTATCGAAGGAAAATACCGTAAAAAGCGAGACAAAGATAAATCGTATTACCAAGTCGTCTAGTCTCTTTTTTGATCGACTTCTAAGACATCGTCTCGATGGAGTAAGAAAGTAAGAAAAGTCAGTCCTGAGGAAAATCATGCCCTCGAGCCGTGAAGATAAATCCAAGTAGAATTCTTGTCCCCGATAACGAGAGGTGGTCTAGTGATTCTGGAAACGACAGGGCAAGTGCCAAGGTACCAACGAGTTTCAGTAGAAAACGAATCTCTGGGGCGTAAACGAGTTCTGTCCAATTGCGTCAATGATAAAATATATTAGAGAGCGAGGATCGAAAGTTATAGAAGCTCGACTGCCGATGAATAAAAGAGAAAAAAAGAAGACGAAAGAATTACTATTGTCACAAATTCTTTTCATTTTCTTTTCTAGTTTACTCTCTTATCTTCTTTCGCGATATTTTACGAGGTACTTGTCCGTAGAACTATAATCGGTACTATGAACATCGTAGAGACGCGGTGTAGGTTGAAATCAAACACGCCACCTGGTCTTATCGCGAACTTTAAAGACTTTTAACGCGGTACGAACATATTTATGAGCACTCGCGAGTGTCCGCGATCGTATGCGTCGAAAGCTATTCTTCTCTCTTAGGTATCACCTAGAAATCGTTTCACGATCGAATAAATATTGCGACTGGGAAAATAAAGCTTTCGCCTTTCAGGCCACCATCGTTTCTCTCTTCCTCCCCCTCCCCACCACCCCCTCCTTCTTCCGTCCTCCTCCTTCTATCCGAACACGTTAGAACGACGATTTTTAAAGCAACTTTTTTCCATTCGTAAGATTACATTGGATTTTCTTTAAAATATCAGGAAATTTTACTAGAGAGAGAGAGAGAGAGAGAGAGAGAGAGAGAGAGAGAGAGAGAGAGAGAAAAAGTATTCGGAAATGTTTATATAAAGTGAGCCATATGATAGATCTATGTAGGCGTCGTAACCCTCGTTTGGAAAGGAAGGATTGATTAGATCCATCCACCGTCTGACAATAGATCCATCGAATTTACTAAGCCCATATGTTCGGTGTACGTCGTCGTGTTACGTCGGAACATCGATCAAATTATTTGTCGGGATATTCGAGGCTTTGGTTAATATCGAGTACGAGACTATAGAAACATAGGTAGTACTTAGGTACGATGCTGTTTTACTCTCGATTACGAAAGCATTTATCCGTAAAGATCGCGAACAAC